TTTATTAAAAAGGCTGACATTTTTCCATGAAGGATACTGTTACTGTGGCACAACAAATTCTCATAAACTCATTTGATTGAATAACTTAGGATTTATACTGCATGCCTTTGAGCAGGAGCTTGCTGTAGTCTCCCAAATTCTAGGACTTTTTGAACAGCCAGCCAGCAGCAGCTCCATTCATACCTGGATTGAACATCCTTGTTGTGATAATACAGGTGATTTTGCGTTGAAGAACAGGCAGTGTCATGTGATTGCCATATGAGCAATTTAGACTCATTTCTTGTTAATTCTGTTGGGCAGAAGCTTGTTTAAAATCTGTTAAAGTTGCAGTTCTTTGAAAAGAAATGTCCCTAAGGTCATTCAGTTCCTGGACACTTCTTGGGGATGCTGCTGTACTTCAGTGGAGTGTAACCAGAAGGCAGAGAGTACATACTGCTTCAGCAGCATGAGAAAGTAGGTATCAGTGTGCCCTCTACCAAACAAAATTGTCCATCAGCCATAGAGAATGAAAGTTTTCCATCTGAGGGTGAATGCTGATTTTGATGTAATGCTGGTGTAAACAAATCTAGGGCAGCAGCAGTGCTAGGCAAATCCCAGTCAGTGCCATGGTAATAATTCTGAGCAGGCTGCTCACTTGCAATGGTTTTAGACAGTTTATTTATCCTGAGAATGATGACATCCCCTCGGGAAGCTGCTTTTAATTGTACCAGATATGTCTTTATGGGTAAAAATCTCATGTGTGGAGGTTAACTGAGCTTAAACCTTCATTAAATCAATTTCTATTTACTGTGCCATGAGGGCTTAAGGAAGAAGTCTCATGCACTGGGAAAGGTTCTCAATTTGGATAAAGTAACTATATTTAATAGTTTAAAAAGTATTGCTCAAAGCTACTCAAATAGCAAGGTCTTCAGACAGCGGTTTATTGAGTCACTTTTAAAATCTAATATCTTTTTCTCTGTCATTTCTGTACATGTCCAGATACTGGCTGCTCTGCAGAAGGATAACCGGGAAATGGAGAAAGGAAGTCCTTCACTTAAACATTAGCTCTGGCTGCCTCCGGTGACACACAGGAAAAGATGTGAAGTGGCAAAAGTATTTGATATGTATGAGCCTGCAAATCAAAGTGTTACTTCAGATTCTGTTCAGTAGTAAGATAGCCTTAAAGGGGAGAGAGGGGAGGAAAGAAAAAAAAAACAAAAGGGAAGGAAACTGGGAGGTAAAACCTTTATAAGTGAAACCGAGGCCTAGCCTTAAACGTCTCGTGGAGCAAGTGCTTGCTGTGGACAGCAGTACACATTTGTATGTTTGATGAGGGCAATTAAACCAAACTATTAAGGTTTCTTTATTATTTCTCACTGATGTTTTATAATACTGGGCATTCAGCAATGTCAGTTGCTTTGAAAGCCATTCCCTAGTTCTGTTCTTAGGCAGGATATACACTTCCCATGCCCACTAGCTGGATCTGGATTTTAAATAACTGGTGCTGGAATTTAAATGATGTAAGGACCATTCCTTTAGAAATGCTTTTTGTTTTATAGGCTGTGAGTCCCATTTACCAAAGAAATCATGTAGATGTAGAACTACATTCCATCCTTTAAGAAAAGAAAGAGTCAAGGAAGTACACTTGGAAGAGAAATCGCACTAGCAGTGTAAAACCAATTATTCTTTAAGATGCCTTGGAAATCCACGTTCCTGTCTGAGTATATACAGCAAAAGTTCCATTAATTTGGCTAGATGGCAAACTCAGCAGGAGTGGGTATAGTATTAAGCTGGCATTATTTCCCAGCTGTACTCTTTCCCCCATTTAAACCCAGGGTCACATAGTACTAAATGGATGCTTCTGTGTCTCTTCTGGGGCAGTGCCATTTCAGGGCACTCCCAGCTACTGACTTCTGTGCCATCTGTCCAGTTGTGCTCATAAAACTGGGCTGAGCAGAAGAATTGAGAAATGGTTAAAAGGAATTTGTGCAGCTGTTTTAAACCCAGCTCTGCTCACTGGCAAAACTGAGGAGGAAGGGGGTAGGGTAGAAGTTACATAAGCCTGAAAAGAAAAGCCTGTGGGGAGCTCTTGAAGCTGCTGCTGCCACAGTGGAGAAGCATGTGGAGTTGAATTTGATTAAGTAATGAGGGAAAGAAGTTTACTGGGAAATAGGCCAGAGAAATACTATCAGGACGAGTTCAGGCTGTCATTTCCTGGCATTTTATCCAGCCTCTAATACATATGAGCAAGTAACAGAGAGCAGATGGCCATTGCTCAGTTGTTATACAGGTTAGATTCCCTCTGCATTCAGATGAATGCTGAACTGTAAAGCACAGGTGCCTCTGATTTACAACAATGGTGATTGTAGAGTGTAAAATCTGTTTATAAATAATTATTACCATTGAAAAGGGAAACTAACTGAAACAATATTTGTTAACTCTAAGCAGGAATTACTAAATCCTTTAGCTGTATGGCCATAGGCTTCCCAGAGTTTTTTGTTCTGTTTTGTGCTCAGTTTTTGGCACTGACTGATGTAAAAAATAAATAAATAATAGTTGCACACTGCTCAACTCAGCATACAGTGTAAGGGCTGTGGGACACAATCAATTTATTACAGACACTGTTTCTACAAGTGATACTTTGACTGTAATTTTAAAAAGAGGGAAAGGAAGATTTCTTGGTAAGTCTTTTGAGACTCATAATCACTTTGGAACATATGTAATGCAGATGCAGCTTAGAAGTCTGTTACCTCATTGGCCTTTTTTCCTGTCCACTTTGTGTACCTGGCATAATAGACGTGGTTTTTTTGGTTGCCCACCTGAATTTCTCCAGAAGACTTCTTTAGGTCATCGCTTACTGAAAACAGACATTGGGATGCTGACATTGAGAACATATTAATTCTCCCAGGATTTGTGTATCTGTATAGACTGGTACTTGTATGCCACGTTGCTTTGAAGTGCAATAGAAAGCTGGAAGGTCAGTAAGTACTTTTTCTAGTACAATAGCAAATCTGCCTTTTCATGATGGGCATGAGAGGCCTAACATCTGCAACATTTGCACTAAGCTTTTAAATGATTTATTAAACACACAGACAACTCTCCCTGCTATACTTTGTGGGTGGTACCATAACTGGCTTTGTGAGTTTAGTCTGCGTTGTAACTGGGTGCGTATTTCTGTTCAAAGCAAGTTGTCAGTGTGGCTCACCTGTCTGGTTGGAATGCGTTCTTGAGCCACTGGGTGTTTGTCTCAGCCATCTGCAGCCTGTTTTCTTCTCAAAAACATGTTGAATGTAACAGTGAAAATAGGCATAGTTGTGAGAAAAGGCCTGCTGCAACACTTGTGCACTGTTTGTAACTTGCAAATGTAATTATTTTGGTCTGTGATTCAATCTTTCTGTTCCTAGGAGATGTATATATTTTCTAGATGATTTCTTTGTGTATATAAGGTATGTTCTTTAATGAAGAAAAGCAATGCAATAAGGAGGAGCTTTGCACAGTTTATTTTCAAACAAAATGCATTTGGAAAAAAAATGACCTGCCTAAAGATGCAATTGTTCCAACTTCTCAGTAACTTGATTTGAAGATAACACTTGAATTTTGATATGAACAGAGATGAGTCATAGTGGTTTAGAATAACTTGCCACCAAGCTTCGTAAGTTTCTTGCGGCGTACCAAATCTCTTCATTATTAAGGAAGGTTTCTGTAATCAATTCAGGGATTGCATAACAAATTCTGATAACGTTACTGTTCAGGTGCTCAAGGGTATCTGTAACATTGTGCATGAGGTGTTCTCTCATTGAAGTGTCCCCATCTCAGCAGACTTTTTTTTTTTTCATGGGTTTAAGGAAAAAAAAGCTGCAATACACCACAGGTTTGCCACTGTCTCAGTACATACAGCAGACCAGAGAAACCAGAACATTGCCACCAGGTTTGGAATTTTGTACAACCCGCACTTTATTGCAAAGCTGTTTTGCAACTGCCGTCAGCAATCAGTCATCAACGTGTTTCATTCAGAAATTCAGTTTCATTCAGAAAGGTACCTTCTAACAGCTCATTTTTGAATGTTTTAAAAACTAGACACCTAGAGAACTGTTGATACATCCTCTGTACATCATGTTTAAATTGTTTTTATGTAGTTATCTGTTGGTTTTGTTTAGATACGTGTATCAAACTGGAACTTTTTTCAACTGTAAATATATGGTTTTATTAAATAAAGTCATGTAAAGTTACCTTACTCACCTGCTGTCAGTGCAATTGAGAAACTGAAAGTTCAAGTATCTTCCTCCGCTGTTCGGTCTCCAGAAATGTTCAGCGAGTGTGGATGAATGTCAGTGGGTGCCATTTTTTTCCACGTGGAGAAATTCAGTGACACATTTGCTTCATGCGCGCATCCTTTTTGTCAGGCAGCCTCTCTGCTGCTCATCATCCACTGCTATTTATTTAAAACAGTTCTGTGGAACACCAGAAGGCCTCTCTCTCGACTTGTGCAGAAACCACTCTTGGATCGAGAGAAAATCTCACATCTGGTTACACGGGTCGTGGTGGAAGTCCTGACTTACAATGTCTTGGTCCGTGATAAGCATAAGTGGTTGGCACTTGTCTGTTTTCACAGTCCAGCAGCAGCCAGAGGTACATTTACTGGTATGTTGTGAAGTTATTGCTTGTGCAGTCTGATTTCATGAACAGAGGTTGTGAGCTACTGGAGATACGTTGCACTTAGTAGGACACAATTGTTTCTGTATCACGACATCATCCCACGCCTTCGTCAGCAATGACGCTCCTCTAGCAGCAGCGAGAGCTGCGGGTGTAGATCTGTCACATTGCCTCTTTTTCCGTGAGCCGTGTGGGAATTTGAAGAATACGTTGTTTTGAAAGTGGAAGCTGCTTCCTGTCTGGTGAAGCTGAGCTGTATGATTAACCCTTGTAACAATTCCTCCCTCCCTCCCCCCTTTTTTCTGTGTTCTAGAATTCTCACACACTGTCCTTGAACAGTGTCAAGGGGCTGAAGCTGTGGTGGGCTGATGCTACTCTGTACCTCATCACACACCACGTAGAGCCTGCTGAAAGACAAAAGTATTAAAGCTCTAGATTGGGATGAGAAGTTTAACAAATGTATTTGAAGTAGTAAACCTTTCATCTTGTACACTAACAAAACAGATCTTGCAGCCAGTTCTGCTGACAGAATGAGTGAGGGATTGAGCTTCTGTAGTAAGTTGGCTGTATGCAAGTCGGGTTTGCTGTGAATACCTCATGTTCCTCCTCAGCCCTCAGCCACATCTATGAACCTTAACCCCTAGTGTTAATTCTTCATCTCCTAGGACCTGTCTGGAAGGCACAGGTGGTGGCTGTACAGATGAAGTTGTTACTGAATTGTAAGAACCGGGAAAGAGGTTGCCAGAGTCAAGGTATGAATTAGAGCTCTGGGTGCTCTGCTTAAACAACACTGCCGTGGCCTCGCAGGACTCAGCGTTTGAGATGGTTTTCTAGAAGTGTAGGCTTTTGGCTGTGCTCTTGTGCACTGTTTTAAATAGGAGGTACGTGTAGGTGGCTTCATTCAGGAATGGGTACAGTGATCTAATGCATCACACTGATACATCATACAGAAGTCTTTTACAGGAGCACACGTGTAATACCTTCCTCAATAAGAAGCGCGTTAAGAAATGAGCGGTACGGACAACTCTGTGGTTTGTATCTTTTCAATGCTTTATTTTCATCCTCAAGGTAGAAATGAATTGGCTTCCCTCATCTTTTCCTGAATTTCCCTCTGTTTGAGGATCAGTTCGGCGTGGTGACGTTTCAGCACTTGCAGCTGCTGTTGTAACAACTCCACGGCATTCACCTTCTCCTCAAAGTCCCGCAGCAGCATCTCCTCTCCAAGCAGCCCGAGTTGCTGCTGCAGTTTCACGTTGCGTGCCCTCAGCCTGTCTCTGGCCCGCTTGCTCTTGCTCAGGGCGTCCCTCTTCTGCAGCAGGACGCTCATGACGTCTCTCAGCTCAGCCTTCCGGCCTCGGTTCTCAGCTTCCACAAACTGCAGTTTCTCCCTGACGTGGCTGAGGATCCGTTCTGCATTAGCGACCTTCTTTTTCAGCTTCAGGACCTCGTCGTTGAGGCCGTCCAGCTTTTCATTGAGCTTCTGGTTCTCTTTCTTCATGTGACCGATCTCTGCGAAGTGGCGGCCTTTCAGCGTTTCTCCGTGGGCTCTCAGGACGCTCTCCAGGTTTCGGACCTCAAGCTTCACCTTGATGTTTTCCAGCCGGGCCTGGAGGGGCAGAAGTACAAGGAGGGCTGGTTCCGCGCCTCTCGTGTCCGGCGCGGCTCCAAGGATCGCGGCACGGCGCTCGCCGCGCGGCCGGGAAATCCTCCGCCCTTCGGGAGAGCGGACGGAGCCGGGCGTTCCGCGCTCACCTCTCGCAAGGAGATCTCCTTCTCCTGTTCCCGGGCCTGGATGTCGCTCACCGCCCTGAGAGCCGCCTCCCTGCCGCCCCGCCGCCGCGAGAGGGTCTGCACGGCCACGGCCTTCTTCCGCGCCTGGAAGGCGGCCCAGGCGGCACTGGCCGCGGCCTCGCTCTCCGCGCAGTCCCTCTGCAGGGCGTCCACCCGCCTCTGCCAGCTCTCGGCCTCCTGCTCCCGCCGCCGCCACAGCTCTTGCAGCTCCAGCAGCCGCTGGGCGAACAGCTCCTGCCCGCCAGCCTCGTCCGCACGCCGCTCGCCCCGCTGCGGCCGCAGCGCGTCTCCCAGCAGGAGCTGCAGGCGGCCGTCCGCCTGGTGCAGGCGCTGCCGCTCGGCCTCCAGCGCCCGGTACTCGGCCAGCAGCGCCGCGCGCTCCCTCTCCTCCGCCTCCTGGGCTTCGGCGTCGGCCGTGGGTTCCGGCTCCCCGCCGGCGTTGGATTCCTCCGTGCCGCTCTCCTCCTTCCCCGTGCCCGGCGCGGTTCCTTCGTGCTCCGGAGGCTCCGCCGGGTCCTCGGACTCCTCGGACTCCCCGCTCCCCGCGCTCAGCGCGTCGGGCTCGCTCTCGGGAACCTCGTTATTCCCTCTCCCCTCTCGCTCCTCCGCCCCGGGTTCCTCCGCCGCCTCCATGCCGCCGCCCGTCGGCTTCCCCCGTTGTCCGGGCGACGGGACTCGGCTCTGCCGGCCCCGCCTCTCCCTCCGCCCCGAGGTCCCGCCCTCTCTTCCCGGCCGCCGCTCAGCGGCGGGGTCGCCCGGGGTCGCCTCTGCGATTGGCCGCCGGGAAGGAAACAGGATTCCGCTCGGCCAATCGCGGCCGCTCGTTCATTTTAATCCCCCCCGCGCCCGGGCGTTTCGTCTCCATTGGCCGCGATCCGGAGGGGCTGCCCGAGCCCTCCTCACCCATTGGCCGTCCGGCGCGAGGCTCCTCCCGGCGGGAGGGCTGCCATTGGCCTCGTCCGAGCGGGGGCGGGGCCGCGCGTGCGTGTGGGGCGGCGGCGGGCGGGGTAAGATGGCGGAACTGGGGAAGAAGTACTGCGTGTACTGCCTGGCCGAGGTGAGCTCCCTGCGCTTCCGCTGCACCGAGTGCGCCGACATCGAGCTCTGCCCCGACTGCTTCTCGGCCGGCGCCGAGATCGGCCCGCACCGCCGATGGCACGGCTACCAGCTGGTGGACGGCGGCCGCTTCACGCTGTGGGGCGCCGAGGCGGAGGGCGGCTGGAGCAGCCGGGAGGAGCAGCTGCTGCTGGACGCCATCGAGCAGTTCGGCTTCGGCAACTGGGTAAGGGCCGGGCCGCGCCGGGCTGCGGGGCGGGGGCTGCGGGGCGGCTCCGTCACCTTCTGGGGCGGTGTCGTGGCGCGGCTCTGGGCGGGGGGAACCCGGAGCCCTCCCGGTTCTCGCCCTGCTGTGGGGTCGGGCTGCCCGGGGCGGCCGCTGCTCTCCGTGCACCTGTTCCTGCTCACCGCCCTCGAAGTGAAGCATTTCTTCTTTATGTCTACAGCTTCAGTATCCCTAGTTTCAACTTAAAACCGTTCTCTTTTCCTTACCGCTATAGGCTGTAAATATTAACTTTCCTTTTTCTCTGTTGCTCTAAAAATGAAGCTGTAAGTGAGCAGAACCCTGGCGGGTGATGCAGTGAGCTCAGGAACCGTTGCAGTGCTGAGCTGGGTTGTTGAGGTAGCAAAGGGTGCTGATCGTGTGCATGGTGAGCAGACAGGGCTGCTCGCCCCGTAGGCAGCTCAGAGGCAGTTTGTTGCACCGATGCTTTTTTCTTTCTTTCTTTCTTTTTTTTTTCATGGCTTCCTGTGTTCTTGATGCTTTTCTTGTCCCTTTCGCACTTGTAAATACTGTGCTGGTGTTCATGGTGTGGCAGAGCTATTGTTGGAAGAGTACAGGTCTTGTGAGTTGGTTTTTGAGGGAAGGAGGAGTGCGTGCTCCAATGAAGGTGTAATGGGAACCATCTTCTTGCCCCTCCTTGTTTTCCATTTAGGAAGACATGGCCGCTCACGTGGGAGCATCCCGGACGCCCCAGGAGGTGATGGAGCACTACGTGAGCATGTACATCCATGGCAACCTGGGGAAGGCCTGCATCCCCGACACCATTCCCAACAGGGTGACGGACCACACGTGTCCCAGCGGCGGCCCTCTCTCTCCCAGCCTGACCACGCCGCTCCCGCCCTTGGACATATCGGTGGCTGAGCAGCAGCAGCTGGGCTATATGCCGCTCCGGGACGACTACGAGATCGAGTACGATCAGGATGCTGAGACTCTGATCAGCGGCCTGTCTGTAAACTACGACGACGATGACGTGGAGATAGAATTGAAAAGAGCTCACGTAGACATGTATGTGAGAAAACTCAAGGAGAGACAGCGGCGGAAGAACATTGCGCGAGATTATAACTTGGTGCCGGCCTTCCTGGGGAAGGATAAGAAGGACAAGGAGAAAACTCCCAAGCGAAAGATCACGAAAGAAGAGAAGGAGTTGAGGCTGAAGCTGAGGCCTCTGTACCAGTTCATGTCCTGTAAGGAGTTTGAAGACTTCTTTGAGAACATGCACAAGGAAAGAGTACTTCGAGCGAAGATCCGGGAACTGCAGCGGTATCGCAGAAATGGAATCACCAAAATGGAGGAGTCGGCAGAATATGAGGCAGCCAGACATAAACGGGAGAAGAGGAAGGAGAACAAAAACATAGCCAGCTCCAAGAGGGGGAAGGAGGACGGCAAAGAAGGGGAATTTGCTGCCATTGAAAACCTGCCTGGTTTTGAACTCTTGTCGGACAGGGAAAAAGTGCTTTGCAGCTCTCTGAATTTGAGTCCTGCGCGATACGTGACTGTAAAAACCATCATCATTAAAGACCATCTTCAGAAAAGACAAGGGATTCCTTCCAAGAGTCGCCTTCCCAGCTACTTGGATAAGGTACTGAAGAAAAGGATTTTAAACTTTCTAACAGAGAGTGGCTGGATATCCAGAGATGCATCATGAAACCCACCGCATCTGCGCACCACGCCAGAGGCCTGATGGGCTCCCTTCTTTTTCCTGCCCTCTCTGGAGATACAGAAATTATCTTATTCGAAACAGACAAACAAAACAACAAAAGCAAAAACAAAAAAACCCACGGTGTTCGTGGTCCGTGCTTCGAGTAGACTTTTGCTTCGTGTCATGAAAAATACTGAATTGCAAAACTTCTCCATTCGACTTCATTGCTCATTAGAGTACGCTGTTTTTGTTACGTTACTCAAAGAGATTTCTTTCATGTGAACCAACTCCTCAAGTCCAATAGTTCTGGGGTGGTCACGTCACTTCCTGCTGTTGGATAAGTGAGGGTCAATGTCATCCATAATCCTTGCCTTTTTTTTTTTCTTTTTTTTTTTTTTTGAAGGTGGGAGATGGTTTTCAGCAGACGAGTTCTTCTCCCTGATGTTTTTGTCACAGTGCTGGCAGCCAAGCAAAGCTTGCAGAAATCCTGAGCTGTCAGGCACAGAGTGCAGGGATTGGCGTGGTGTTGCAGAGCTTTTGGAGCCCTGCCCTTAGTAGCACAGCCCAGGTGTCAGGACTTGGGGTGGGAGCTTTTCTGAGGTGCAGCGGGGCTGAGCCGTGACAGGGATTGGTAGATGAGTTGCCTGCAGGTATCTGTGCTGTGTGGGCAGGCTTCTTGGAGAGCTGTGTTCTGCTGCCTGACCTCAGTGTGTGCTTGGCCGGGCAGCTGTATGCTCTGTGCTGGTTTCAGCACTGCTGTGAAGTGGCTGCTTCTGGCCAGCTGTGGCTTAGAACACGCAGAATTCTGCCCTGGTGAAATCACTGCTTCCAGTTGCAGGGGGAACCTGCCCCTCCTCCTGTATCTGGTACAGGAGGCAGCCTGAGCACCTGCAGCTGCCTCCTGAGTGCAGCTGGGATGGACAGGGACAGGGAGCTCCATTCTGAAGCTCACAGCGGTCACTGAGGTTGGTTTATTGAAAAAGAAAAATTAATTTATATAGATGAAAATGCCCAGCTGCTGTGCTCCTGGAGTGCAGAGTGGTGGATGCAGCCATTGCAGGTTTCTGGCTGCGCGTTCCTTGAAACCTGCTGGACTAAATGTGCTGAGGTCATTGCTGTGGCTGGCAAAATGGATCTCAGTTTGCCACAGTGGTCACTTGGGCATAACTGATGTTGTCATTGCTCTCTGAGGGCTGTGCTCCCTGCCAGGCAGGGCTGGAGTTACAGTGGAGCAGAGCACAGCAGAAACACTTGATCCATCACCGTTGTTTTAGTAATATATACCAATTAAGGGAAAGGTGTTCAAGGAGGACTGGAAAAGGTGTTGTTTATTTTTTTTAATCTTCATTTCATTCTTAGATTCCTGTGCTGGCATCTAACCATCTGAATTTAAAGAAAAAAAAACAAAAAACAAAAAAAAAAACAAAACGAAAAAAAACAGGTTGATTCTGCGTGACAGACATCAGTGTTACTGCACCTGAGCCCTGTGCTGGGCAGTGGGTGGCAGCCAGCTGGGCAACAGCTCCACTGTGTGGATGTGCCAGGAGATGGAGCTGACCGAGTTGAGAACAGATGTGAACGCAGGAGGTGTGCCCTGGTTCTGATGCCTTGGGCCATGAGGAGTCCATGACATCTTAAAAACAGTATTAATTCTGCAGTTTGGCAGAGGTATGCTAACCAGAACTGCTTTTGAGTCAGTATCTCCAGCATTATCAGAATAGTGTTACCGCTGAGTTTAGCATACAAAGGGTACAGTTATAAAGCCAGCATTTCTAAGGAGAAGGAAAAAAAAACCAATAACACAACACACACAAAAACTCTAGTGCCTTTTTGTTTTGAGTTTGTGGTGTTACGTCCCTCCAAAAAAGGAAAGGGCTGTGTGCTCTCTGATGGGATGCTTTGGCTTACCTGGAAGCGGCTTCTCGGGCACCCGAGACAAAGCAGTGCAACTCACTGCAGTGTGCCAGTAGCTTTAAGAACCTCTTCCACCCTGTATGCACGTATAGAGAGCACGTGAGACAAGTTGAGAAGGTGTAAACCATTGATGATTTCCTCTGTCCTTCTCCTGTGGAAAGGAAGCTCAGCCTTTCCAGCCTTGGAGTTATGCAATTTGGTTCTTCCTCTGAGCGGTTCCGGCTGCTGCATCGCACCGGTGCTGTGCTGGAGCCTCAGCTCTGCCTGCAGCTGGGAGGTTAACACAGATGTGGGTTTTCTGATTTATTACTATCTTCCTCAGATCTAAATTTTATATTTCTGAAGTGCTTTGGCACACCTAAGCCTAACTGAAGCAATAGCCTAAAACCCATCTGAACAGTAATTTAAAAATAAAATTATCTAGGCACCAATGACTCATTTAAATGTTGTAGAAATGAATTCTGCGTTTACTCTTTGTAGTTCCTGAATTCCTCAGCCCTTCCAAAATGTTTCTTTGGTGCTAGACGTAACTTATTGAACATCAAGATGAATGTAAAATAAAGTATTTTTAATGTATGAAATATGGATATCGATATTTATTTTATACTTGCAAGCAAATTCAAGGTGGTAAATGTTTGCTGTAGCAAATGCTGATCCCTTGGAAAGGGCTTTCCTAGAAGCAGTGTCTCATTGTCAGCTATGCTTTTAATTTTAAAGGTGACTTGCACTAGAGGATGCTGCTGTCCTGTATTTTCAGATGGAACCCATTTAGTCTAAGCATTCCTTTGTTACGAGCTGCTGTTTTGTTTTCTCAAGCTGAGGTGCAGTTGTCTTAATCTGGCAACTTAGTAGAGCTGTGCTGCTTCTCGTGTGGTGAAGGGCTGACAAAAAGCGTGGCAGAAGCTCTTCAACTTTGTGTCTTGTGTTTGTCAGGAAGTGCTTCCTGTACTGTACAGATATCCTGGGCTTCGTGTCGCTAATGAAAAGGTGCTTGGTTTTGTTTTGTTTTTTTTATGCTTACTGCTCTGGACTTATTTTCTAACGAAAAATAATGCTAATGGTAGTATCTGCCCTAACAGCATTGATGTAAGCCTGTGGCAAAGCACTAACCTGTCAGCTGTGCACTGATCTGCTCCCGATAGGGGCAGCAGTCAGCCTGCTGTAATGCTGTACGGTGCTTCCATCAGTCCCAGCCTTGTGTTACAGTACAACTCACCAAGTAGCAAAGGAGCGTTAGCCTTCATTCTGTGCATACAGCCCAGATCAGGTGGGCTCATTACAGCGCTCTGCTTACAGCCCCTCCTGCCCTGCCTTCTGCTGCAGTCCCAGTGAGAGTTAAGAACAGCATTAGGTTTGCATTGGAGCCTCTGCCCATAAATGGCCTTGTGAATGAAAGCACTCTGCTGTTCTTCTCTTGCGTGGTGGCTGCACCAGGTTTCTTTGCAATTGTAATCGGCCTTTTGGTTTACTGCTCTTTCTTGCAAGGTGTTTTTGCGTGTGCCCCAGGTGCTCTTAAAGAGATGATGAATTAAATACTGTGAAGGAGGGTACCTGGTGAGCACCCCGGCTCATCAGCTTCTTCCTTGAAGGGAACGTTGCACTCATTTGCGTCGTGTACTGGTGTAGCTGTGCCAGACACAAAACGTCTGTACTGAAATCATGTAAAACCTAACTGATGTTGTGCACACTCAGCATTTTACTAGGTTTTTGCATTGTATGTTGGTAAATAAACTTGTATTAAAGTTTCTTTCCATTATTAATTGCACTGTAACATAGCCCTTTTTCCTCACTGACCAGCTAAAGCCCTGGCAGCATTGACTAGAGATGCATTTTAGCTACATGATGATGCGTGGAGAAGTGCTTGTAACAAACTAGCTAGGGCAGAGCTTTATTAGCAGCTTTATTAGCTGCTGTCATGCTTAAACTTCAGTCATCCACTTTTTTTATTTCTTCAGTGCATTCTGCTGTCATCTGTCAGCAGAGGTGCTTGGAGAGCTCAGTAAAGACTTCCCTGTACACTACCTCCTCTGAAGGGGCAGACCAAGAAAAAGGAATTATTTCATTCAGATGTTCAGAATTCACTTAGTTTTAAGGAAACGAGCGAGTCCTGTGCCAAACACTCAACAGTAAGTTGTGTGTAGCAACACCTTAAATGAAGTAACGTAGTACAAAAAAGACACTCTAAGGAGCTGGTAAATTAATTACAGAAACCTCAGTCTCAACCAACATGTGAACTGAAGAAGCTTCTTAATCCAAACAACCAGCAGTGAGGATGGAAAATACAGAAGTCCTTCCTGTCACATTACCAGATGTTAAATAATATGTGTAACTCTGATGTTTCAGTCTGGTGTGTTAAGTGAATGGGCTTTGAGGGAAGACACTCTGTTAGATGTGTAGTTTGGCATGTCCCATCCGCTCCTATCAACATGACCAGCAGCAGGTGAAGTTACACATGACAAGAGCTGTGTATGGGAAAGCTCTGTTGCAGCCTAAGATCCAAGGTGAGTAAACACAAGAAATAAAGCAGAGTTCACGTTTTTGTTTGAGCCACTTACACTGCAGCTACTTGTGCAGTTCGAAATGTAGCAGATACCAAACTCTGAGATACCCACTTCTTCAGGTATTCTGACTTTCAATGGGGTTTTAACTACAGTTTGCATAACAAACTGATTGCATGGCTTGAAAGTTATAAGTCTATCAAAATCCTTTAAACCAATTTATACAATATTAAATTCAAAATCCAGAGATAGCGTAAGTTGTATTGGTTCTTCAATGCCATACAAGTATTAGATGGTTTTCTTGAGTCAACTTGACTACTGATCTAAAAGGGCTGAACAATTAGAAAGGATGTCCGCTCTCCCTTGCCCTTTATTTTTCAGGTCAGAATTCACGAATGTTTCTACTTCAGTTGTTGAGAGGGGTTGTTTCTGAATAGGCATTCTACAAAAATGGGTGCTTACATCAGCCAAAAAAACAGCAGATACTTGCAGAGGATTGGTTACCTGTTCAACTTCACCCATTTTTGCAGTTTAGCGTTACAAAGCAAAAGGAACCATTTGAACCACCGACTGGATCTTCGGTTTACACAGTGATAAACACAAGATTGCAGAATTGTGAGCATTTTGATCATTTCATTTTAATGTACCTTCAGTAGCCATGATTGTAACAAATATTACTGACAGAAGAGAGCTGAAGGAACACTGTTGAAGGCCACTAAGCAACAGAATGTCACTGTCTGCTTCATTTTCGCTGGGAGACCTCAACTGGTTCACTGAAACCTCTTGGGGGACAGAGGGGTAAGGAAAGCACGGTGTAAGAGAAAAACCACCCAGCTGTTTAATAATGGAAGGGCATTGTGTGATGTGATTCAGCGGCTAAGCGTCTTTCACAACGCCCACGAGGGCAGGCCGCAGCGTGCGCCCGTGCAGCTTGTAGCCAATCTTGGACACTAAAGCAATGGTGCCAGGCTCCTTCCCTTCCATGGGAGCGTGGAACAACGCTTCGTGTTCGTAGGGATCGAACTTGGCTCCGACGGGGTTCAGTCTGAGCAGCCCGTGTTTTTTGAACACTTTCTGGATCTGTACTTCTGTCATGACAAGACCTTCGTACAAGCTCTTCAGGTGAGGATTTTCATCCTTAATTTCTTCTTTTGGAACACTTTCTGTTGCTTTCTCCAGAATGTCTGCGACTTCTAGCAAGTCCTTACAGAAGCTCTGAATACCTAAAAAAGAAAGGAAAGGGGAGGGAGGAAAGCAAGGATTAAAACCAACACCAACAAACAAAATGAAAGCTATGCTGGTGAGATGACACCGACAGTTAACTCTAACAAGTTACCAAAACCTTCAGATGGCCTCACGTCATTGCCTTCTATTAAGGAATGGATCTTCTGTCTCTCACACGGTGGGATTCACCTGAAGACCAAAGCATTATATTGCTCTATTTCTACTCTTTAATCTGAGATACAAAGAGTTTTTGCAGAAGAAAAAGTTTGTAATCAGGCTGATAAGGAATCTTAAGAGGTGAGCAGTGATTCCTCCTTGAATGAACACAACACTCATAACCCCCCCTCCCGCTACAAACTGCTCTTACAGAGTGAGCCAGAGGCTGCACCTCATGCTGAGTGATTCCTGGGCCAGCAGCAGTTTTGAAGCTGATCTCCAGCTCGCCCTAGAAGAATCTGGACTCATCTCACTTCAGGTACAGTGTCTCAAGCAATCGCAAAAGACCAAGACAACTCAGTGGAACAACGCATTTCTTTGCAGAGGTATGATGATGACAAAGTGTCTGAGCTGTGGTAGCCTTGCTCATTTCTTCTTTTAGGCAGGGTTAGGCTTTATAACTCTATCCATTATTTTCTCCTCACCAGGAAGAGCGCAGTACCAGAAGACAATGGACTACAAAAGCATCTTGCAGGATCTGTAAGGATGAACTAGTTCTCAGGAAAAGGTCACTGTAACAACTGTACAACTCTATTTAGAGACTTGAGCTTTTTACAGAACTGTGTCTGAAAGTGTCCAGTGAGTTCCCAAAATATTAGGATAACAATCAAAACTTTAAATTCAGCCTACAACTATGGCTAGGGCCAAACTGTCCCAAACATCAGCTGTTGATTGCTCTGGATCAAACCAGCCATTTGTTCAGAAATGGATTTTTTATTTTTTCTATTATTTTTAGCATAAGTTATTTCTATAGACAGCTGTCACTGCATCTCTCTGGACTTAGTCCCCTATGGACAAGTTTAAGAATGAGTTTCCCTTAAGAAAAAAAAAAAAAAGCAATCCCAACCAAACGATGAAACTTACAGTCACACATTAACTATGATAATGTTTAAATGAGAAACTTTATTTGAATATTTATCTCTATCATACATCTCTGGGCTTAGAGATAACTCCAAGCCTTTCTGCACTGCACAGCACAGCAATCAAACAATGCTTTTTGCAAATGAACTTCAGGATGAAGCATTCAAATATCCATGAAAATGGTACAGAACTATGAAACAAAGAGATGCTTTTTTTAACCACACACATTAACTGCAGATTCTGCATGTAGAAATTAAAATGTCTGCATTCAGAATAAAACTACACAGCTCTGCAGTGCAGCAAGAGAGGATAGCTAATATTTCAAACCAAAGTGGCAGTCAAGTACTAAAAGGAAGCTCTTCTGCTACAGCGTTCACACACAAACAAGGAGCTCTGTCTCAATGTCAGAACGCTGTGTCAGATGTCAGTGAGCTGCTGGAGGCTGATGTTTCTAGCATTCCTTAAAGCCCACAGCTGTATGTTTCCTACCACTGCACTGCCTCTGTTTGAAAGCTATGGCTTTCACCAGAAGAGGAATGTTATTCAAATATGAAAGGTAAAACAAATGAAACCCTCCACAAAATGAACCACCTCAGAAACCATGCATCAGTAACAACAAAACAAGCAACACAGCAAGCATGCCAGTATTCCATCCTCACCCTTGGTTTTTGAAGTCTGCCATGGGACCAAGCGTATAAAAAGGCAAACTTGAGGCTGCAACCTTATTAGAAACATCTCCTAATCCTGTACCTTTAGAAAACCAGGTGCCAAATTCAAACAAAATTCAAAGTTGTTGACTTAAATTGGTTAAGCCTTGCCCTATCTTAAGGGAGATTATTGTACTTCTATTACCAAGTGAGGAACCATTTTTAAACCTTTTTCCCCTATAGATGTATTTTAAACTAAGTAGCCAGAATAACTATAAGTACAACTTGTCAAAACTGGAGGCTAGTTAGCTCCATTTTCCAAGCTCTGCTTTTCAAGTTAGTGTTCCTGGGTCTTATGATTAAAAACAAAGAGTTTTCACTGACCATATAACTTTGCCTCTTCCACGAGTTTTTGGCTTCTTTGCCTCACGTTTTCTGCATCTGCCAAGGCCCTCTTGTACTTATCCTGCAGAAAAACAAGTCACAGAAGAGATTTCAATCCAAGTGGTTGAAGCATTGAAAATTCTAAAGCAAGTACAGAACAGCATTTCTTTTTTACTCTTATGTTATTTTTTAGATAGTGGATTTAGGCAAACTGAACACACAACAATTATCACTGCATCCTTGTTGCAAAGAAAATTGTTTGCTTCATTTAAGCGCAGAAAGAAGTCAGAGAAAGGAAATAAGGATTGGCCTCTAGACTCGATATTTGCTGTCAGTAATTTTTAACACTACAGATACACCAATTTTTCCAAAGTTGTCTGCTTTTTCTGGCAAGTGTTTGCAGGAAGTCTTCATAAGGTATTAAGTATTCTGACACCAGCAAGCAAGATCCAACCCAACCATTCAGTCTGCCTCTTCCCTCTCCACCAAAGTGTGCTCCAAGTTTTTCAGACCTTACAAACCACAAAGTCTGATTCCTCTGTTCATCAGGCTAAGTTTAGGTCTGTTCCTAGCAAGATGTGCTGTAGCACGAGATGCATTAAGAACTCGATTCAACAAGCGTTGGCGCTTCAGTGCTGCACCACCTGACCCAGAACTCTGCTGGGCCTGCACACACTGTAAGGTTGACTTTCACACCAAGAAGTTGACCGAAGGGATGCCCTCTGTAGCCAGGAACATATGCTGTCAACTAAGGTGTTAATCTCCATGATTTGTCTTTCAGTTCTTTCCTAAGGGCAGCAGAAAGGAATCTCAATCCACTTACAATTCATAGGCACTGCTACTACAGAAGGTTCTGGGCTACCTCTACCTCTCAAAGTCCCAAATGCTCTAGAAAGACATTTTCTATAAAGCACTCATCCAGAAAAGCTATGACTTTGTTTAATCCACACCTCTCACCTCCTAGGGCACTGTTCACTCTCTGTTAAGTCATGCATGAGAGAATGCAAGATTTATTAGGCCAGAATGCAACATGGACACATTAGTCTCACATTTAAAGACATCTCTAACAGAGATGGGTTCAAACTCCCACTGTGTAAGCACGTAATAAGTGCAGTATTATATACAAGCTAAGAATTGTTAACCCCTACCTTTGGAAAAGTCAGTGGCTGTTTTCAGAATACCTACTCTAAGCTCACATACATACAAGATGCATTCCAATCCTTACATGTACTTCAAAGAATTATTTCTCCACTGAGCAAAAATCTAGGCAGCCTAAAGTCAGTGAAACTAAGCAATCAATTTCCAGGTTGTAGGGGAAGTGTTATGTCACAGCCTGAAATGATGACTGAGCACCTGGTGAAGGGGGTGGCTGGCCTAGGAAGTACAGCTGCAAGCAATTCACCTGTACTTCCCATGTGACAGGAAGGGCTCATTTAAGGGCCCAGCTTCCAAAGAGAGAGCATCTTTTGGATGAAGGCTACTTCCTGAGAAGGAGTGTTCTATAGCCAGAGGCCCTATCACCAGTCAGGTGAGTCAACTTTTTCCTGTATACGCTTACTGCCATTCCTAATGCTGTTTTGCCTAGCATCAACAAAGAACTACTTCTCAGAAGCAATTTCCCTGTTTCCAAGGACCAACACAGGTCAAGCAAGATTCCATCCAGAAATCAAAATGAAACCACCTAAAGTTTTTGTTTTAGAGTAGGATGGGATACATTTCAGGTCTTACAGTAAATCCACTCTCTTCAGTTTTGAGAAATTATTTAATTACAGGTTATTATCCATTAACTAAACATCAGTTGGATTTCTGCGTTCAGACTATGCACTGAGAAACTATAATCAGGACTCTTAGGTACACAGCCTGGGAGAAATGCACACAGACTGAGCAGAGGCCACTCACAGTAACTTCCTTGAGCTGCTCTTCCAGTTTGGCCTTTTCCTCAGTTAACATTCTTTCAGCAGCACTATGTTCTGCCTTCTGCTCATTGTGGCTCTGACCCTGATCCTCTTCCAAGTTCTGGCCGGTGCTCTTCTGCTGTGTTGCCACACAAAGCAGTCGTGGAGAGGTCCTATGAGGAAAAAACACATGGAGAGTATTAATCTACCACTTACCTTGTCAGACAGTAGTGCTTCCTGGACATACTGGACACTTCATCTGACAAATCAGCAAGCACAACAAATGCACATTAGAGCACAAATCAACGATTCCAGAACTGTGGAACCCGTCTGCAGAAGATTCCATCAAAGGAACCGAGTTTAGCTTATCTGAACTGCTGCAAACAACAACTCGGCTGCAAGGCACCGACCGTGGAGCAGCAGCTCGTGACCGCCTGTTCGGTCCAGCCTATGCCATAGGGCACAGGAGCTCGTCTTCACGGCAGCACGCGGTCTGCCTGATGCAACAGCCCGCAAGAGCAGCCCGAGGCCCGGCAAGAGAGCAGCGGCCGCACCGCACCTCGACCCTTACACCGAGCGCAGGCCTCCAAGAGGCTCCCTGAGGCGCTTCGAGGCCGAGCCGGCTCACAGGGCTGCATGCCGGGCCCTGTCCTAACGGAACGGGGTTATGAAGGACCGGGCCTCACTCCCAAAGGCTCCGAGCGCGGCCCCGACCGACGCGGCCGGCCCGGCAGCACCGCGCTCACCTCAGCGCCAGGCTCAGCAGCGGAGAGCGCGAGCGGAGCGTGCCCAACACGCACTGCGCTACCGCCGCCATAGCGCCTTCCTACCCAGCACCGCGTCTGCCCGCCCACCTGCGCACTTACCAATCAGAGAGAGGGCGCTCCAGGAGTGACGCGGACAATAGCCAATCAGAGAGGAGGATGAGCGAGAGTGGTGGGTGGGATGCACGGCTCTTCCGGGCCGCGGAGGGAAGCTCCGTGCAGGAAGTTGTACTCTGCCCCCCTGTGGCGGGAGGTGCCGCCTGAGGGCGCCCTGGGGGCCATTTTGAGTGCTGTGGGGCGCTGGGGCTGTCCTTGTCGGCCCTCGGGGGTCTGGCACCTGGCTAGAATAACTGGGACGCGCAAATCCTACACTGTGATACACGAGTTAACTTCATCGGTGCTATCAGTTAGCATGTGATTATCACTTTAAAAGAAAGAAAAAAGGTCACATTTATTACGTGGTCCCAGCACTTTGCTAGATTTTTCACAGATGCGTATGCCCCAGCTGTAAGCCTGATTTCTGCTTGCATTTCTAAAGTATGTCCTGAGGATGAAGAAGCTGCACATGCTGTAATGCAAAGTCAGTGAATTATATATCCAGCTGTGTTCAGGTGTGTAATTACAGTGTTACTAAAAAGAAGCCTCAGAAGAGCCACTTGCCGTGCAGGAATCCTGCAGAAGTTTGGAGCTTGCTCGGTTAACTCAAGCTTTTGCACAGCCTCCGTGTAGCAGGGTTTGCTTGTCTGCGGTGCTGCTTCGGGGCCTTTGCAGAAAGGATGTGGGACATCCTGGTCCTCTGGTCTCGTGACAACTGTTATATTCCAAGGAGTGCTGTTGTCTCTGGCAGTCACGCAAGTGCACACAGATGTGCATTTCTCCTCTTGAGGAACAACTTGGAAGAGCAAGAAGTGTGCCACTAACACCCTTGGGTGACAGCATCTCTGCAATGAGAACCAAGCAAATGGTTTTGCATTCTGGTGATCATTAGTTTGTACTGTGACACTGATACAGCACAGCAGCTTGCCTACACAAAACAAAGCAAAGACTGAGGTTGCATGTGGCTCTAGTCTGGTCAGTGGCTGCCTGCTGCTTTCTGGCAAGTAGATAAGCCACAGGTCCCAAGCTTCATCCTTGTAATTCTTAAAGATGCAATTGAGGAGACCTGGTAAAAATGCCAGTAAAGCATCTGGATCTGAGAGAACAAGGAGAAAAGTGGGAATAGCCATAAAGGAGGTTATCCACAGAAAGCTGTGAAGAAATGAGACAGAAAAGGTAAGTAGGTCTTTTGATCTGAGGCTTCTAAAATTTTGCCTGAAAAAATAACTGGCTCCTTTTAGCACTGAACAACCAGTCTGCCTGTCTCATTTCCCCTGTTTGTTGGGCTGAAATCCCTAGCAAGCTGCTTCCTATTTACCTTGTCTTCATTCTCTGCTGCCTACCACCTGTGGAAGCTGTGTTCAATTAGTGATTGATTAGAAAATTAATAACAGAAAATTGAGAACAGCCTATTGCTAGTATATCTTATTAATCATTTAATAAACTGTGTTCCGTTCAAGACCTTTGAAACAAGCAAATTCCTGTATTAAGGCCCATTTGCCCAAAATGATAATTCACAGGCTTTTTCCAAGCAAAAATTCAGAATGATCCTCAATGAAAGTGAATTTTGTTGTGATTTCCTCAACTTGAAGAGCTGTTAAGAAAAGCCCACAGATGGTGCAGGTTCTGATGAGTGCAGGACTGAACAGCATACACAGTACTACAGATAAGCATGTAGGTTAGCCAGACCTTATTTGCACTGTGACTGACGTTGGCCGTACGTACTGTCCCACTTTGGAAGGCACTTTGAAGAAATTACTTTTCCAAGCTTTGTTCTGACTTCCACCTTAGCAGTCTGTTCTAATTGTAGTGCCACCTAGTGGCCTGCTTTGTGTTTGTTGTTATTTTTGTTAATACTCAGCTGAGGAGTAGTCAGCACCTGCTGCTTGGGCTGGCAGGCAACCACAGATGTGCAATCACAAACATGTTCCTGAGTAGTCCCCTTCATATCAAGCAGACTTTTCTTTTTCACATAAAGTCAGGGTTTGAATATTGTTTGTTGATAGGCAATGCTTATTCTGAATTCTAAAACATTAAGTTAAGCAGTTGCTACCTCTCAAGCTGATGTGGTTAGAAGTGGTTCTAATCTCTAATTAGTGCAGTCCAGTGATTGACTCGGGTGGTGTGGACTTAATTCCTGATTCATCTCGTGATTCACTCTGTGGCCTCGTGCAGCCATTTGACCCTGTTTCCACACAACTACGAATTAAGGGTAGTAATCTCTCAGAACACTAAAGTTGTTCAGAGTGCACAAGGGAATTTCTGTGATATTTTGAGAATGTCAAAGGAATTATAAGGCTCTTTTTTATTATTATTAGCATTAAATATTTAATAAAAAAGCTTGTAATCTTTTGAGGTGAAAAATGGTATAATGCAAGATTTGTGCTTGAAACGTTAAATGAAAAATTAAGGCATTTCTGTGTCTATGAAGAAATACTGGTCCTTTCTCTGAATGCCAAGATATAATCTGTTGATATTCAACCAGCAGGTAGAATGCCATTACATTTGTGTTTCAAATATGAGCTCTGTTATTAATGTTTTCAGGCTAAAAATGAAAGGGTACCATATCTTCCCTGATCAAATATGTTGTGTGTCAGCCTGATCAAAACCAAACATTGAACTGTGGTGGGAGGAAGTGGAATGAGAAAAGAAAAAAAAAAAAACATTGTAAATAGTCTAGCAGTGACCTTTCAAGTCAGTTATCAGGAAATAACAAAATCAAATTAAAATATGTTAATTTAGCTATAAGACTGTTACTGAACTTTTCAGTGGTGAAATTACACTTGTTTTTCAAACCTGAGCCCTTTAGGAAAGATTTCACAAAAGAGGTCTTATCTGTTGTGTTCCAGTATAATGTTGGGGGACATATTCTTTCATACAGAATGTTAATTCAGAAAAATATATGCATATACACACACACACACACATATATATATTGATCCCTATAAATAGGGATTATTGAGTCTGAGTATCAGTAACACCCTGGAAACATCTGAGACAGAAGACTATAAAGATTAGACTGTTACTTGCATCCAGAGACTTTAAATATCATGGAGCGTGATGCAGATGTGTGTGTAGGGGAGAAGAGCCTTCCTTCCTTTTAGTGAGAGCCTTACTAAGATAGTTAATGCGTCCCAAATTCATAACTTTTAATGCAAACATTTTAAAGAAATCTCTCCCAAGAGAGAACATGTAACACCTACTCTCTGCCTAGTTTCTCCGTGAGCTGCAAGTATAGAATCACACATCTTATTCTGGTTATAGAATACCCTTTGAGTTCCCATAGCTTTTTGCTAACTAATTTGAAAGGTACATTTTGTAACTATCTTGTTGCCTGGAGAAGGTTGTTGCTGTGCTGAAAATCTAATAGCGACAGCCGCAGGGCTCTGAAAGAGCTAATTAGAGCAATTTAGAATAACAGAAGTTCTGTTCCTAGGAGGACACTGAAGAGATCCTGGCCCAAAGCAGCATGCAGCAATTTCAGAGCAAATTTATTGTGATATTCCTGCATAAGTCATTTGGTATCCCAAGGATTTGCAAATGTGGATATCTATTATGGTTTGTTCTTTCAGCTTTCGTTATCAGGGCACAGGTACAGGCCTTGTAACACTCCTGGCAATAGGAAGTGCTTCACCTGTCCTCTTAAGAAAGCAGCTAGCTGGTTCTAATGCACAAAAGCAATCTTTTATCATGCTGATGTGGCTTTACACCTTGAGACAAAATTATTGAGCTCTGGGAGAAGGGTTTTCAATCAATTGTTCTCATAAACTCTTAGCGTGGTGCCATTGATTTTCTTAATATTTTTTTAAGAATAAATTGTTGCCTTTCAGCTGACAGGAGAGGTCAGCTGTGTTAGCGTGGTCTGTCCTCTCTCTTCTGTTACGTTCAGGTTTTGCCAAGAGGACAGAAGTTGTTGGTGTCCATTTCTGCAAAAAGTTTAACAGTGGAAATACTGAAACAGTATTTGGACATTCAGGCCTACATTTTTCTTTCTTTCTTTCTTAATTTTTCTTTGAGATTTGATGAATTAGATCCTGTGGGCCTGTTTCTGCTGTGCAGCGTGCAAGTGATTTGTATTAGTCAAAGGGAGTGTGGTGTGGGGAAGGGCTGCCAAGCCAGGTGCTCGGCACACAGGCTGCCAGCAGTGCTGTAAGAGCCCGAGGCCTGGCTGCTTGTTGCTCGAGTTGGACTTGTGCAAATGTTTCTCCCTTGCTTTTTACATATTTTTTCAGATAACTGACGAGAGGTTCAGCTGCGTGGTGCATGCCCGTGGATGGAGCTCTGTTTAGACATGGTGTTTCAGTGCTGTTGTTCAGTCTCGTTGGCGGGCTGTTCTTCCTGCATCAAAAGGGGAATGCTCATTCTGCTGATGCTGTGCAAGTGTGTTGGAGAGCTGAGAAGACAAGAAGCACAAAGCAAAATTTAAAGAGGTTGTCTCCTGCTTTTCTCCAGCTCCTTTAGAAAGCGAGCAAGAATTTTTGATTGTGTTTCTATGAGTAATTAATGAGTGCATGAACGTTCCTGTTGAACAATTATTATTCTCCATTCTAACTAACCTAGCAGGGCAGGTCTGGCCAGACAGGAGAGAAAGAGTCCAGCTAAAAATACCTGGAGGGGGAAAGAATAAGAGGCTTCCAAACCCCCCAGATTTCCCATATAAATGAAATCTACCTAATACCCGCTTGCTTTTTTAAATTATTTATTTGTTTGTTTGTTTGTTTGTTTGTTTATTTATTTTGGTAGAGGCCACAATTTCTGAACTTGGATTTAAATCTGTCTCCAGATGAGGGCTTTACTCTTTGCTTCCTTCCCACAGGCATCTATGAACATACAACTTCAACCTTGTTAGAAGAGCTCTTATCATCATTAACGTTAGACTGGTGACATTCATGGGGAGTGGCATTAGATTTTTTCTCAGAATCTCTTGAGTTGTGTCATTGATATCTGTGGCATGCCTCTCTAACTGTGGAATCTACAGTAGATTGGAATTTACGTAGATATAAAAGCTGTGCTGTGCAGGTAGAACTGAATGAAAGTCCTTGTTTTACATCCACAGTACTTGAAGCTCGTGTGGCTGCTTTAAGTTCTGTGATAATCATCACACGAAGGACTTTCACCACTGCTTTAAAGGTCACCTCGGATTCATGAATCACTGCAGGTTAATGTGTTATTAATCAGTCAGAGACCAGCTGAAAACTATTGGTTCAGCTCCTGTTAGATGTTTATAAAGTAAAATATAAAGAAGAGAATCTGTGCTTCTATGCTAGGAGTTAAATAGGAGTTCTGCTGCTGTCACTTTCCCTCTTACTCCATCACCAGCTGCTGCTGCTGCTGGTCTCAGAGCTGTCATTCTCTGACCTGAGTGGAGATGCTACTTCTCATTGACATAAAACCTGTTGCTGGTCCTTTAATTTTCAGATTTTCTCTCCTTTTTCCTTCCTCTCTACCTCCTGCTGTACACTTGCCATCACCATCACTCCACTCAGTTTGGAGTGGAGAAGCCTCCTTATCACACCACTTCCATCTCCACTCACTCGTTCTCAGGTTTTGCTCATTACTTAATGTTTTCTGTTACTTGTGATTGAGGACACCTTCACCTTTCTGACATTAAACCCTGCTTCATCTACATTGTGTCCGTTTCTAGAGATTCTTATGTTTATGATAGTAGTGCTGACTGATAATTATGCTTGTGCTGCAGAAAAAGCATTAAGGTGGAGGACCCCTGTGACTTCTCTTTTAATTCATCTTTATTACTGAATGAAACAGACTCCTCCATTTCGAAGAGCTTATGACTTTTCTCTGACTAATCTTGTACTTTTCTGCTTGCTTAATTTGTGGTTTTAGTCTATTTTTAAAATGATATTTCTATTGTGTCTTTTAAAATACGTGTTTATTACTCTTCTGTGACTCCCAAGTGTATTGGCTGGCAAAGTCTTGATGAATAAAATTGCTGTCATGTTATAGCTATAAAAATTCATTCCTTCCCTGGAATGAAGCAAGCAAGTTTGAAGGAGTGGAGGAGTGGAGTTATTTGAAGTAAAATGGGATAAATGCTTAGGAAAAATGTTTGTAGGATTCCGTTGCAGTTACAAACTGTTGATGTATTAAACTTCCTCGTTCTTCACTGTGCAAATGAACCAAAGCGTGAATCTGTACACTATTGCAGTGATGTGTGCTGTGTAGAACATATCCACTGACTAACTTTGTGAGAGTTGAGCCCTGACACTAGCCTGGAAGTACCAAACAATTCCATATTTACTAGAAAACCTGCCTGCAAGCCATGGTCCAGTAAGTCATGCTAATGACTGAGCTGGTTGTGCTGGAAAGCAACTGGTATGTGAGGCTTTGTGTCTCATGGAGCTGTACACTGCTCTGCAGGCATGTTGACTCAACAGCTTTTCTTTTTGTTTTCAACAGAAGATGTTTTGAAGTGTTGGTTGTTGTCTTTCAATAACAATTGTTAATACCTTGCTGCGATACCAAGTGAGTAAATGTGTACAACAGCTTGAGGCTTCTGAGATAGATAGCAGAGCTGTGAAGTTGATGCTGTACTCTTCTGACAGAAGACTGTGCGACAGACTCAGAGGCTCTGTTCTACTTGTCTGCATTGCAAATAATTGTGTAAGTGCCAACATTTCCATAAACTACAGCTATAATATGTAGATCACGCAAGCAATTGGCCAGCACAGCTCCAAGCAAGGTCAAGCAAGAGCATAGCACAGGAAATAGTTAGGCATTAATGGCAATATCCTTATTACTGCTCCTGTTCTGTAAGAAATACATTTCCATTTGGGAGCAATTCTAAAGCAGCAAACAGGTTTACCCAGCTTTATGTTTTTCAGACTTTGCTTGCTTTTGTTAAGGGCTCTGCAGATCACTAAGTGCAGAGTGCTGATAGAGGTTAGGTGATGACTTAAGGCAGTATTGCCTTTCCAGACAGAGTCACTAAACAGGGGAGACGGCATATGTTTGTCTTCCTCTGTTTGCACAAGGTTGTGGGTGGGTTGACCCAGGCCAGCACCTAAGCGGCCACCACCAGCCTGCTCGCTTCCCTCCTGCACTGGGTTGGGGCAGAGAATCAGAAGGGCAGGAAGCAAGCAAAGCTCATGGGTGGAGGTAAAGACAGTTAAAGTGAAGGGAAAAATAAAACCACAAGTGATGGAAGGGCAATCACCAGCTCTCTTGAGCAGACTGGTGCCGAGTTGATTTCTGACAAGAGACTACCGTGGGAAGAGCCCCTCCTCATTTTATTTCTAAACATAGAATTACATGGCATGCCAGGTAGACTGTTCCAGTCAAGTCTTTTTCCCATTCCCCTCCTTATCCTCAGCCTACCAGCTTGGGGAGCAGAGTGAAAAATGGAGATGGTTTTGATGCTGTGCAAGTACTGTTCAGTAACAGCTAAAGCACTGGTGTGTTAGCAGTGCTGTTTTAGTTATAAATCTAAAACACGGCAGCATGCAGATCGCTGTTAAAAAAATAACTCAATCCTGGCTGGACAGAGTGCATGCTTTAATAGATGGGTTTGGCCATAGGGTGGGGTAATCACTGTGCAAGCTGTAAATTCACTCTGACTGCATCTGCATCTTCCTGTACTCAGTTCCAAATAAATTTTATGTGACTTATGAACAACAAAAAACAGTGACTGAAGTTCTGCCTCTGATCACTATGTGTGCACGTACATATTTTAGGCCTTATATATGTTTTTCACTTGCAGTTCCAGAAAATTTGTAGCAGCCTGATCACTAAGATGGCATTTTGCAGGAGTTGCATGTCATCATATTTTGCTTGCTATTCATGATGTATTTTCATTTGTCTGTTTATGTGAAATTCTGGATTAGTGAAATTTGTACCCTACATAAATACAATCTCTGTTTCAGAGAAACTTGCTCCTGTAGAATCATTTGAATTTTCTTCCAGAAAATTTTGTGCTTTATGGTGAAATCTTATTCTGCTTAGGGACTTTCTGGATTATCATTTCTAGCATTCCTCCATTTGCCCTGTAAGTGCCCTTTATTTGAACTCTTGTATTTCTGTGAAATTTATTACATTTCTTTCTGGAAGAGGAGATCGCTTGGAGGAGAAGAGTTGAGATGACATGCAATATGTTAGCCTGGAAATAGTAATACCTTTATTAAACCTAGCAGTGTTCTGACCTACAAACGATCAAGGTGTAAGTGAAGTGTCAGGCTTCATTTTGTTCCATCAGCGATGCTTGGCTCTTGGTGAAGTTATTTATACCCTTTCTATCTGCCTTCCAGACTGATCCTTAAGCCTTTTCTTGGCTGGTGTTCAGTCTGTTCTCAATGGCCGTGCTTTCATCTGCCTCACTCATGACTGTGATTCTTGTCTGTTAGTTCAGACTCCTCTTTCAGGAGATGTCCTGCCTTGTTCTGGGCTTTGTTTGCTGAGCTGGCCAGAAGCGTGGATGAGATGACCTCAATTTGAGTTATCTGAGTGCATTCCTGTGTCTGCTGTTGAATTCCTAACAGTGGACCAGGACGTTCTTCTTGCTTTGAACCCTAAGACAACCTCAGGACACAGATCTTAGAACACTGGCCTAAGAAAGCTTGGGGTGCTCCTTGAGAGGCTGGAGCCAAAGGCCACAGATGGATTTATATTGGACTTCTGAAGGTCTTCTTGTCCACCATCCATTCTGAGGCAGGCCACCTGAAGCTGGCTGTCCAAGAGCTTGTCCAGGTGGCTTCTGAATATCTCCAAGAAGAGAGGCTGTGCAGACTCCTGGGGCAGCCTGTCCCAGTGCTAAGTCACATTCATCATGAAAAACTGTTTGGTGGTATCAAGGACAAAGCATAAGTATAATACGTGTACAAATGTATAGTGGTCAGGCTAACTCGGTGCCATGATATTAGCATGCCTGACAAATGTACTGATGTGTGTCTCAGACTGAATGGAACACTTGGAATGTATTTCATGTTTGGAAACATGCAGTGCTAGTAATAGAATTACAAAGATCCCCTTGTCCGAGTTTTTATTTCCTTTTAGTCATGTCAAACTTGGTGTATTTCTCCCTATTTATTAAAAAGAAGATAAGGTTGATTCATATGATTTAACCATAAATGTTTATCTGCTACTTGGACCATATTGAAAATAAAATTCATTAGGTTTAATGAGAAAATTGGCTGATACCAAGAACAAAAATAAATAAATATAAACCGTACTGAGAATTCATCCTCTTATATTTTATTCCAACTTAGAGAAGATCGGGTACAGACAATTTTTCAGCTGCAGTACATTTTCTCATTTTCATTATGCAGAGCTAAAATTATCCTTGCTGTAATTTTTCTGAAATCAGTGGTATTCTTCTGCTAGGTGTGAGAGTGACCTGCTCTGATGGACCTGCTGTTCCAGGACATGCTGCACTCCAGCGGGTTTCTTCCTTTCAGTTGAATGCAAACATACAGGTAAAAATTGTTTACTTCTGCAGTCTTTTATATGATTAGAGGCAGCACAGACAGGGGAGCACAATAACTTAAATCTCTGGCTTTGGGTTGGATGAGATGAGTTGTTTTTGTTTTTTTTTGCCTCAGAGGAAGATGCTGTTCTACATCATGTAGCTTAGTTTGAAATTCATTATTGCATCCCTGATTAGGCAGAAGCCTTCTATAGAAACAAATCAGGATTAGAACCTAGGAGATGTTCAAGTTTGATATCATCTATGCAGTATCTGGAAATCACAGTGAAGAGGGCGGGGGAGAGGCTTTGATTTCTTTAAAGAATCAATTTTTTTTATTGTTGTATCAGAATATGTTGTGGCTACTTAAAAAAAAGAAAGAAAATAGGATGACGGGAATTTTTCCAGCAGTTCTCATTTCATGAAACGTGTGTCGGAAAGAAATAGTGGAGAATAAGATTTATGTAGGAGTTAGGACTGCATTGTGCTTTAATACCCAGTCTTTATTTTGAAATTATCACATTTCTACCTATTAGGCCAAACAAACTGCAATTGAACAATTTCTATTAACTGAAAATTTCACTCCCAATGCTTCTTGTTCAAATCTTCCTTGTATTGATATTAAAATCTGACTTTTTAGTAAAGCTGCTTCACTTTTTGCTCCTACTGTGGAAGTATTGTGTGTCTAGAAATGTATGAGATTCCTTTTTTCTGTTTATTTATTTTTATTTAACAAATTGTCTTACTCTCATCAGTAGCACGTGAATGATATGGATTGCTGTAGGAAGTATGAATTTTTTATGAACATTGTAAATATTAACTTAAAATATGAGAAGCCAATGACTGAGATGTTAATGCAGCTTTGGAGGTCTTCCTGCTTCAGAGGTGATAAAAACTACATATGGGGTTAAGAACATGAACAACAGTGTGCTGTGGGGAGGATGTGGATGCACCGTCCCTGAATGCATTCAAGGCCAGGCTGGATGTGGCTCTGGGCAGCCTGATTTAGTGCTTGGTGACCCTGCCTGTAGCAGAGGGGTTGAAACTGGATGATCACTATGGTCCTTTTCAACCCAGGCCATTCTGTGATTCTGTCGTGTGCTGTAATGATAATACAGCAGAGATAGGACATAGAAATAGAGGATATTTAGATTGTGGAACAAAGACTAATAGCCTCTTTCTTTCTCGGGAGATGAAGAATCATAGAACCATGTAGGCTGGAAAAGACCTACACAGAAGTATTGTTGGGGAGGAGGTAGTTCTGCCCAGTGGAATAAATTTTTCTGCATAACTTGCCATTCTTGGTGTATTTTTATTCATCTGTCAAGTCACTGCTTTTGATAGTTTGTTAATTGTCACTGTGCAGTCAGTTTTGTAGCAGGAGGTTAGGAGATTGGTTGTAGTCCTGCCCCAGGATGGCCTTTTTTTTTTTTTTTTTTTTGGTGCTGTCTCTGAAGAGTGATTTTAGAAGATTCTGCATGATAAGAGGTACCATCCTTCAGCTGATACGTTAAATTGAGGTCACTTCTGCCAATGGCCCTCTTAAAAATCACCTCTGTGTCTTGTCAAACATTCCATTTCACAGTGAAATTAATTCTGAAAATCAAGGACTGTGTATGAAATATTACTGAGCCCATAATGGTGGCTGTGTTTGCCCTGTATTCACTGTGTTGCTGGTATTTCACTTACAATTTTTGTCAGGGCTTACATTATAAAACTCAATTTTACTCCGTTCTATATCACAAAGCAGCATATGTCACACTAACTCCACTGAGCAGAGTAAGATTACTACACAAAATGTTTTATCATCTTGTGATATATATACACCCAAGATTACTCAGAAAATAACTTGTCACCACAGTAGACACTTCATGGTTGCTGGAAAAACCACTCCATACTGAAGGTCACATGTGTGCATGCACTGATTTAGCAGCTCTATTCACCCTGTGCTAGAACAGTGCTGC